AAATATTAGTATAAAATGGCTTACTGTATTTTTTTTTCCTATCGTAGGCCTGCTGGTAGAACTTTCAATTTGAAATAAGCAGTGCCCTTGTACTAATGTCTGTTACATTTGTTCATGTTAAATTGTATATGGGTACAAAATAAATAAATAATTAAGATTTTTTATTAAAATAAAAGTAAAGTTAATTAACTCTCGTTCGTGTCAGCCCTGGGTATGGGTGACGCTTGGCTATTTTTCTTTGACACACTTCCTGATTTTTAACTGAGCTGAAATTTGATATTCTTTTATAACATAAATAACAATGCAATATTAATGTAGAATAAAGCTGATCTGATGTTAGAACTAGAAAGCAGTTACCTCCATGGAACCTCTGTGATCAAGCCAAGCAACCTCAATGGGATGGCTTTATTGGATAGCACTAAGAAATAGTTTCTGAAATTCAACTTCTAAGGTATAGAAAAGTTGTCGATATCTGTATGAAAGTATGTCATTTTTTTGTGATTCCAAACAATATATTAGAAAATCGCAGTTTCATAGCAACCACTTCCTTAGGAGATGTTTTAAGCTATTTGATTTAAAATAAATAGTATACATTGCGTAGTTTCAAGACAACATGATTGAGGGCTTAATAGAACAGCTTGTTCGTAATAAAAAAGTTGACATTAGAAATTACTAAGCTTAAAATAGTCTGTTTAATTTTCATCGCCTTAAAATTTTACTAAGCAAAAGGTAATCATAATCAAAATGTAACTTCGCTTAGTAATATTTTGAGGGTTTTTAGATACCTAACTAAAATAAAAGTCAACTGGTTGTTAAATCATTTATAGTATGAATTTTCAGATATTTGTAGAAATCAACTTGGTCGCCGTTTTGAAAGAACTAGAAAAGTAACAGAGAAACATATAATTTAAAAAATCGTCTAATAAAAAATATGTTAGTTTTTAATTCATTTAATGAATTAGGCGGAAATCTATCGAATAGTTTTAGTCATAAACAATACAAAACTATTAGGTAATAGTCTGTTTTTTGATATATCTATTATGGTATAACTATTCAATTAAACTGTGAGATATCCCAAAATCATTGTAAATTTCAAAAATTATATTAAACAGTATAAAGTAACTAAAATTATCGTTTAAAGCTTTTCATTTTATTTGTTAATGTGCTATTTCTATCCCTTTTGGATCTTTATCATTAGTATTTGCACTACTTAAAGCAAGATTAGCCTAATCTGGTATTACTGTCTTCTTGGACACAAGCCTTCTCTATGGTAGAAATAAATAGTTAAAATAGCCTTTATAGCTCTGTTGCATGTGCATTTAAAAGTTCATTTTATATCTTAAAAATAAATTAACAAATAATTATTAGTGAAACTTCAACAACGTACATTTAAGTCCTTTCAACCATTTCTTTTCGTCTTCGAAATAATCGGCGAATTCATTAATAGCAAACGCAGCCTCCGGATTTGCCGCGTTTAGATTATTTAGTTCTTTCAATGTCTCAGTGAATGCTGCATAACGAAACAATAACTCTTCTGTGTTTTTATAATTTCTATGATATTCTCTGATGAAATTATGGAACAATATCGGAGCATCTTTTAAATTATAAAAAACGTCACCTGCGTTGACAAACGTCAAAGCGACTGCTAAAATGAAGTTATAAGCTAACACTTTCATCGCCCAACCTTAAATAGCTTAATTATATATTTTTCTTTAATTTATGGATCCGCAGTTGTCCGTTAATAATTATCGTTAAACAAACTTTTTAAATAATGCTATTAGGGTGTGATTTAAGGTGTGAAATCAATTCGATCTTTGAAGTCTTAACATAATATTCCAATTCCATATGGTGATGCTTTTCATTCACGGTAGTGGTAACGTCGATTATAATTTTAAACGCATTAGTAGCTACTAGGTAAGATATACGTCATAAAGGAATGGACACAGGTTACCACAATATGTCAAAATTTATAACCACAATAGGTATATTATGGTTTCAAATGGAATGGATAGATTGGACAGTATTGTAATACCTATTAATATGTCATGTTTATGCAAAATAAACTTTGTAAATTAGATATTAAGCTTTAATAAGATACTTCAGTCCTAAGTCAATTGTAGAAATTTGACCCTTTTGTAGTAATCTTGTTCGTTTTATTTTAATAAAAATTAATATCTTTTTAACCGATTTCAAAATCAAAAAAGAGGAATTTATCGAGGTCTATGAATGCCATAAAGAGAGGTAGTTGATAATCTTTTGACTTCTGAACTAGCTGTCTAACTGTATGTATATGATCTAAGGTACTAAATCCACTACGGAATCCAGCTTGTTTCACTAGCTGAAATGCATCCAGGTAATTTATAAGTCTGTTTGTAATGACTTTCATAAACAATTTGTAGCTGTGCCTTAAATGGGACATTTGTCTATAATTACGTATGCCTGTTTTAGAACCCTTTTTATCTAGTATCCTGACAATCGAGTTTTTCCATAATTGTGGTGATATTGTTTTAAAAAGGCATTGATTAAAAAGTGATTTTAACTAGTTTAGGCATTCACATTCCGCAGCTTTCCAAAGCTCAATCGGTACGTTATCATCACCTGGTGTTTTAATAATGAGGATTGGCGGTGCTAAAACATAGATGTTCTTAATGCATGCAACTAATCCACCCAGCATTTCTAACTGGGCCCACGTGGAGGTCTCAATACGGATAGGTGCGCAATTTATGCGATATCTTTCATCAATATCGATTTACACGAAAAGCCTATAAGTATTTAAAATAAACAATAAAAATATATTTACTGTAACAAACAGTTTCACAACATTATGGTGTTACCGTACATACTAATCTTGTTAAACTTAATATAGCGGTACTTATAGCCGCAGTAGTTAAAAAACTGAGCCATATGAAAAGACTCACTTAATAAAAATGTTGTTTCCCTATTAGAAAGGAACATATAGCCTCTGTAGTTGACATCTCTTTCATCAGCTTTTCTGGAGGGAGTATTTTGTCCTGTTATATAGTACTCCATGGTTGTGAGTGAAAAATAGTTTCCTGTCATTAGGTCCTTGTTGAATTTTATAGAAATTAAAAAAGAAAATTGTACTAGCCAGTCGAATGCCTTTGAGAAAGCTTTTGATACGGTCGAGATTATACTTTTATATTAACACGAAAAAGAACATCACGGAAGAACAAAGAAAACTTAAATAAGAAAAACAATAGAATTATGAAGTATTGATAAATTAACGGTGATTATAATGGCGCACAACACCAGCACTTCAACTTTTGTTTTTATATTATTATTTAATTGCTAAATATCTATTTATTGTTTATAGATACATCAAACAAACTTAATTTCTCTTGCTTTTAAAGATTTTAATTAAATAATTTATTTTTATATCAATTTTGAATTCTATACTTGGGTCATGGTTGACCGAAGATATTTTTTTATTAATTTTAATTTTGAAAATGATCGTTCACCTTCAGCTACTGTAACAGGCAGTGTTAAATATATACGTAGAGATGATGAGATATTAGGAAATGAGGAAATTAAATTATTAGAAAATATATAGCTTAAAATATCAGGTACTTATTGATGCATTGGGTAAAAATATTGGGAACCATTCTAACTCATTATATAAATGCATATATTTCTTGGACAATACAGAAAAGCATGTAATTTCCGATGATCTTTTAGCGGCGTCATTTACTACTTAATTGAAGGAGTGAGCAGCACACGGTAGGTAAAATGCCCGAGGCTTCATATCTAATTATTTTTTGGAGGCATATATTTTTTCTCCTCATATTAGTCCCATTATCATATCCTTGGCCTCGCAAATCATCTAATTCAATATTGTATGACTTTAAGAAATCTAACAAATAAGTCGCCAACTGTTGGCCGGTAATATTAGTTACAGGTAAAAAACCTAAATGATGTTCTCCTCGACCTCAGCGCGTTTTGTCGATGGACTTAAATAATTAAACCTCACGATAACAGTAAGTTGTTCTTGGTGTGAAATATCAGGTGTGCAATCTAGGATTATAGATTAGTATTATTTACATTGTTTGAAAAGACTAATTATAGTAGTTATAATTTTTTCAGCAATTACACTAATCAATTCATTTTGAATGTTATGGCATGCGATGCTGAGCTCTTTGAATTCGAGCAATGTGTTCTGAGAGTGCACTATCAAAATTAGATATACTCTCCACCAACCTAAAAAAATTACCATTATTTGGGTCATACAACTTCTCAGTTGTGCCCCTAAATGCTATATTTTGACCTGCCTAAAATGTTATCATTTAGGCAGGTCAAAATATAAATATATCCTTTCCAAAACTGCTGGCTACCTTTTTTTCTCGCGGTCTATTTCAGTTTGATTTACCGAGCCCACTGTCAATAAGTCATTTTGAGATCTAAATACATTTTTAAAGAACATATGTGCCCTCATGTCGTTCTATATTTCTCGACAAATGCCCCCAGTGTTGGGGCCCCCAAACCATTGGAGCCATTAAGATAAGATAAAAGATAAGATAAAAACACTTTATTGTACAACACACAACAGAAATAAATAAAGAGTAATTTACAATCATTAAAACTTTTGCACAATAGGCGGCTTTATCGCTTAACAGCGATTTCTTCCAGGCAACCTATACTGTATTTTGTTTTCATTGTAAGCTTTTAATATTAAAAGCTTACAATGAAAACAAAATACAGAATCAGTAGATGTGGAATATACAAGCCAAACTCGATGAACAATTTCGTTATTTGTAAGGTTTTACTGTAATATGAATCTGAAATCGACCTCGTGTTACTATCTAAAGGATAGTAGTTTTTTATTCTGAATAGGTCCACTTTATATTATAAATAATCTTAAATTATCGGGTATTACTTGCGGCCAGAGATCAGGATCATTCGCGACATTTTTACAAAATCGTACATCTTGTTCTGTTGCTGGTTTGTTACAAATTAATTCACTTGGAGTAGGCGAGATACTGGTACTAGTGCGAGCTGGAACTTGTGAAATACTCGTAGAAGTTCTCTTTTCCAAGTTGACTGTCCCTTCTTACTGTCGGGCTGATATTGACGAAGATGTACCTTAAAAAAATAAGATAGTCAAACAATTTATGCAACCAAGTATGGTAACAATGTCAAGCAATAATATTTATACCGGCCGGGATTCGAAACCGAGACCTTCGCACGAAAATCAGTGTTACTAACCATTGAGCCTTCCAGTGCGCAATACGCAATATAACAATTAATTAGATATTGTCATTAGGTATACAGTTATAGGTAACTTATACAGAAAATAAGAAGTGTAGTAATGATAAGTAGGTAGGAACTTAGTATGGGATCGAACGTCCTTTTTCTGTTTTTCAGCACCCGATGGTTTCTTTTTACCATCTCCTGATTAAATCATCTACAATAAAATCAAATTTTAATTTGTCTTTCTTTATTCTAAATAAAGAAATAGGTTTGTATCAATTACTAATATTAAGAATTTGCATTTGTGTGATTATAACAAATAAACAATCATGACTCTCTCATAAACAAATAAGTACTTATATATAACGGCGGGTAGTCCGAAGGGGCTATTACGAAGCCCAAATAGATAATCCATATCGGAGGACTATCTTTAAAATAACACTGCAGGCGTGTATACCAACGTGGATTTGTTCCATTTTATCACTTTTCTTACGAAAATATTACGAGATGAGCGTGATGTCATCTGATGTCTTTACTCCTCGGCGTTTGGAAACAGAATGTGTGCCAAAATGGCGGCAACTTGCTTTTTATTAACGAACTGTCAAAGTCAGTGTCACCATTCTAATAAAATTAAGGGTATCGATGATCACGCCTCTTACAATCGAGTAATTAAGTAATCGAGTAACTAGCAATTAAAATAAAAGAAACTAAATCAAACGATCTTCGTAATGATGATGATTCGAACCAGGCTGACGATGATAATGATTGTAATCAACTTAATAATTAAAAAACCAAATTGACTTACCTTGAAATTTTTTCTCTTATTTATGACGAAGAGAGTTCCATTTATTCCATGCACTTACAACTTACACTATGGTTACACTACACATTGGAAATAATGTCAATAAATTAATGAATTAGTCTATTACTTTCTATTTAATAATGAATAGCTCGTTGGCGTAGTGGATAAGCGCCACGGCCCACGATCGTAGTCGTTAAGCAACTTTCGCAAGGGTCGGTCACGGGATGGGTGACCAAAAAATTATTATCTCGAGCTACTCCGTGCTTCGGAAGGCACGTTAAGCCGTTGGTCCCGGCTGCATTTGCAGTCGTTCCCTCCAATCCGCATTGGGCGAGCGTGGAGGGTCATGGCCCATCCTCCTTAACCATCCATAAGGAAGGCCTGAGGCCCTGCAGTGGGGACGTAAAAGGGTGGTGATGAATGAGATCAATCACTGACCGATACTTACATAGGCGCCGCGCTGTTCATTCAAATGAACTTACACCTAATTGTAGTGATTTAGAGATCATTTCTTTTAAGTTCGATCGCCCGGACGGCTATGTCAAAGGGAGCAATCGCCTATGAGAAACGCACAGGTACGTCGCCCCGCCACGCGTCCATTACAAATGAACTTACACTTTATTGACTTCGGGAGCATTTTGCTTCAAGTGCGGGTGTCCGGGCGGCAATATGTCAAAGGTTAGACTCTCTTTGGGTGAGAGATTTTGCCGCCCGCGTGTTGTATTAAATAAAATTGTTATTTCTATAGTAATAAGAGTCATTTTAGCTTGCACATTATGAGAGGTATGACAAGCGCCGAAAGCGTAATAAAAGTAAAATAATGATAATTGTTGACGACTATTTTTTTATATTAAATTTTGCACATACGTATTTATCGTATCAGGTATATGAAACTGTGTAATGACGGCCCTAGATTCGGCTTATACTGTTATCGTTAACTAATGCATGTCGAAGAATCGGTTTGAACATGAATGGCAAATAGGCCAAAAACACGACGTATTCAAATTGATGGCACTAACCTAACAGAGGTTACTAAATATGTATACCTACGATAAACAATTAACATGGCAAACGACTTGAGCGATGACATAAAGCGCAGAATATGTAAGTTTGGGATGGGCGAGCTTTGGACAAATGCCGGAAATTTTTAAATCCGACTTACCGATGCATCTTAAACACCGCGCTTTCGACCAATACATACTAATAAATTAACATATGGCTGTGAGACGTGGACACTAACAGATGGCATGATGAAGAGACTCAAAGTAACTCAAAGAGTCATTGAAAGATCTATGCTTCGGATATCTCTTCGTGATCGTATCAGAAATTCCGAGATACGAAAAAGAAGCGAGTGGCTAAATTAAAGTGGCAATGTGCTGGCCATATAATGAGATGCTCAGACGGATGTTGGAGTCAAAAGATAACCATATGGCGACCCACGAACATCCAGCAGGAAACCAGGAAGACCGAAGAAAAGATGGTCCGATGATATTGTTCAGACAGCCGAGAAATCATGGATGCGTGAGAGAACCTGCAGATCACGCTGGAAGGAGTTGGAAGAGACATATATCCAATACTGGACAGACAAGTGCTGATAAAGAAGACGAAAAATCCTCATTAGGACTTTTACGGGAGCCCGGTGCGGATTGTTAGGTAGTTGATTTCATCCATTAAGAATATAACTGCTGTAGCACCATCAAATCCGTAATGGGATCTACCTATAGATGCAGGCCCAGGTAGGAATATTGGGTGGATTTGTTTTATTCATCCATTAGGAATATATGTACCTACTTTAGCGCCATTAATCCGAACGGGAACCTACAATTGGGACTAGTGAGGAATACCGGATGGTTAGCGCGTTTGATTTGCGAATTAGATGGGTGACCAATTTTTTTACATGTTACTTAGCACTGACTTAGTAACGCATACAACAAGAGAAGAAAAGAGAGCAAAAACCCGTCAGTCCCCGCTCCGCCCCTCATCTCGCAACGCCTATCTTACTCCACCACGCTCAACCAATTACAAAAAACTTTATCACCAATCCCATTACTCACCATTTGTACACGTGCACGTGAAACCGTAAACACTCACAGATTACTTCCTAAATTAGAAAAAGTTGTTTTATATTACGGATCTCCAATAAGTCGTTGGAATTGCATGGCGCTCCATTGGTACGATGCGATTTAAATCGAAGCCTTAGGATGAGGAAGTCTCATTATTGTTTAATGTTATCTTAATTGCAATAATTTAATTTTATTGAAATAAATGTGTTTGTATAAAGTGACTTAAACTTTTTAAAAATTGTTACCATTAAAATACAAGTGTTTCCGCTGTTTTAGTTAAAAATTTTAATCAACGATATTTATTATTGAAAACTTCTAAGTTTTCCTTTTATCTTATTTAAGTTAGTCAAAAACTATTACTTGTTTTTTTTTAGTTTCGAAAATCAGGTGGATGGTCAGGTCATGAGCGCATTTACTTTAAGAACCTCAAAACTATTCACCTTTAAATTACAAAAATATATGTATTTGGTGTTTTCACAATAAACTAGTGTCACACGATAATATTTGCCTAATTTTTATATAATTTTCTTTACTTAACTTTTATATAACAGAAAATTATTTTATAATAGCTAATATAAGCTATCCTTAAAGTATTAGGTATAAGATATTTCAAACACACAATAGCATATTAGGCTTTAAAAAAATGACACTTTAATCGATTTTTAACTTCGTCAAAACAATACTCGTATATTAATATCGTTTTGAAGAAGTTGAAAATTTGTAGAAAATTGTTTTTAAGATGTGTTGACTATACATTTTTATCATTTACTTCCCATCTCGCTGAGTAGCTCAGTGGCATAGTGAACAAGCGCCGTGGCCCGAGATCATCATTATTAAGCAACTTCCACTAGGGTTGGTCACGGGATGGGTGACCAAAAAATTATTATCTCGAGTTACTCCGTGCTTCGGAAAGCACGTTAAGCCGTCGGTCTCGGCTGCAATTGCAGTCATTATTACCCTCCAATCTGGGTACCATACCATCCAGGAAGGCCTGAGCCCTGTTGTGGGAACGTAAAGGGCCTGATTATGACGGCATCGCCGTGAATCACTCTTCATATTGATGATAAAGAATTAAAATAAAAAATATGTCAGTGTACCTACAACGGGAAGCGACTTTTCTTTATACTATGTATAGATTCCGTGGATAGAAAATCCGCATTAGTTAATCATGGCTAACTGGTGAATTTAGGACTTTCCACTGTATATTAGCATATTATTGTTCCTATCAAACTGAGAGACATGAATGAAACACATTTTATTTTCAGAAACCCACTTTAATTATTATGTCGAAGTAAAATCTGGACACATATCGTGTATATGACACATCGAATACTTAGTTGTCAGTGTGTACGTTCACTAAAAAAGTAAATAAAATAAATTAATTTAAAACTGTTTTTTTAGGAAAATACATAAAACTCCTTAGCGATGCTTAAGAAATTCAAAAAAGCTCAATTGGTCAGAGTAGACAATCGATTTACAAATAATTATGAACTGTAGTCCTATCTTAGGCACCGGAGACTCGAATTCTTAACCTTAAAGTATTCAATATAGAGATTATTTTTGATCAGATCTTCTTCTTGAATCACTCTGTATATTGATAAAAAACAATATTAAGATCCGTTGTGTATTTTAATATACCTCAGTATGCCTACAGACAGCGGGAAGCGAGTTTTTATACTAAATCGAATTATACTTGTAGTGAGAAAAATGGCTGTTATAGATCTGACTCCAGGGAACTTATCTCGGGATTTATCTTGTGCGATTTAAATTTGAATTGAACTATCGATTTAATCGTTTCTTTTTACATTATACTTTAATAACACTTCTCTCACTAGTCAACTTAAAAAGCGTTTACAAACTGCTTAGACTTTGACTTTGAGGAATTCAATTCATTCAGCAAGATTCGCAAAAGCTCGTCATTGGATGAATGAACAACAATGAATTATCTCAATCTCCTCTGTCGAAACATGTAAAAGCATTGTCCCGGTTGGATCTGCAATCTTCAAAACCAGTCACAGTCAGCACTGGGCTGCCCCGTGCTGATAAGTGATCCCCAAATATGAACCCGTTCTCCCTATTCGATTTTATTCAATCGGGAGACAAGACCTATGTCCTAGTAGCACATACTATTAATGACTGGCGCTAACCATAAATTTAAACATTAATTATGTAGGGGGAGTCTGGAGACTTGCCCAGATGGGAGAGTTGAACCACTTCTTGAAATTCAACGTAAATTGCAAGCTAATGAAACATTAACACAGTCGTAGATCATGTATGGAAGACCAATAATGTATGTGTCACTATTGCACAAAATGCCTGGTTTGTTTAGCTTTTAAGTTGCGAAAAGTGTTTAAGTCACTACAAAATAAATTTTAAATAATTAGTAGTTTTGAGATACTGGCCGTGTTTATCGATGTAAGTATTGTGTATTGTTTTTATCGTGTTTGCTGATTATTCTAGTTTGAAGTATGTTAATTTTTTTAAACAGTTATTAAATACTTTTACTGCAATGAAAATTTTATGTCGAAGTGATGTATGTGGGAGAGTTGAACCACTGTTCTTGTTGGAGACATCAGTGGTTAATTATACCATCTGTGGTGATGATTCGTCTGCCATAAACTTGCACTCAATTCAATATTATAAATGTTAATAAAACAAGTGAACATAATGCAAATAACATTTAGAATAGTTTTTTATAATTTTTGAGAATAACGATAAGTATCAATTCCAAATAATAAATAAATGAAAGCAAAACTACGCAAAAGACTCTAATAGAAAGATGATACTAATAAAATAAACAGAAATTACTAAAACCCCTGATAATGAGTTACCTCAGACTTTTGATCATATGTCCCTCATAGTGGGGAGAGTTGATCCATTTCCCATTTTTACTGCAAATCGGCTTAGCAATTTATAGTATTGAAATATTTAAAAAGTAATGAATGATGCAAAAACAAGTCTATATAAATTACACATGAATTAAAATTATAATCTAGTCTCTACGACAAATTTAAACGAAGATATGATAATTCAAGTAAAAAGAGGTTCAAGTCTCCGGACTCCTTATATGTTAAAATTATTAATAGGACTTCTTATATTGATCTATTATTAGAAAGACTATTTGTGAGCCTTACGATAAACTTCTGTATGTACAAACCATATAATTATCAACGTACCTTTTCGCGGTCGGAGACCATGCGTATGCTCGATTTCCTCTTGAAAATAATCAGAAAATTGATTGATACCATACGTGTCAGATGTAGAACGAGCGTTGTAATCATTTATTATTTTCAAATTAACTATGAACTGAGCGTATCTTCGCAGTACCTCTTCGGTATCGTGGTATGTTCTATTATATTCTTTTACAAATTTATGGAACAAATACGGTGCGTCTTTTATATCATAATGGACAATGGGCTTAGCATTGACGAATGGCACCACAGCCACTGACAAGATGGCGATAAATGTTACCGTTTTCATGTTACTGGACCGTTAACAAGACCGGACAAATAATAAGTCTACGAGAGATCAATTAGAAATATTTATAGTCAGCGTAATGAACCGTAAATATTTGCATTATCATTATAAAAAAATGTATAATGCATATTCACGGTATTGTTAATTATAAAAAAAACCGTTTAATCAATTCGATTTCATAAACATATTTCATTAAAGCATAAATTAGAGCACTAATTAGGATGTTTAGGATCCAATTTGCTTAATAAATCGAGCGGTTCCGATACTACCACATGTTGGATATTGGTTACTACAAGGTCTAAAAATTTACCATCAGCATTGGGTACACCGTTTACCCAATGCTGATGGTAAATTTTTTACCACCGTTTCAAATTATCTCTATATAGAGATATATATAAAATTCTCGTGTCACAATTTTCGTTACCGTACTCCTCCGAAACGGCTTGACCGATTCTCATAAAATTTTGTGAGCATATTGAATAGGTCTGAGAATCGGCCAACATCTATTTTTCATATCCCTTAGTGATAAGTGTTGCGGGAAACCGACTTCCACGCGGGCGGCCACTAGTTAATAGATAAAAAAATTAAGAATTGAACGTTCCATTACAGAATTATAGTTCGACGGAACCATTTGGTTAATATCGTTATCATTTTTACTCTGGATGAATGGAATCGAAATTAAAATATCTCATCAGAATAATATTATCATTCAATATCTAGATAACATGTTAAAGTATTTAATTTTACTGGTTGAGGGTAGGGCATGGAATACCGGAATGATTTTCATACCGGTATTGATACCGGTATTAGACTTTCAAATACCGGTATACCGGTATTTCGGTATTTTTTCGGTATATTTTGAAATTACTGCTAAAAACAGTAACTACTGTTTAAATAATTTAAAGAACGTTTAGTAAGTCTCCAAAGTAAAAACACTGAAACTATTCACTCCCTAGAAATCAAAAAAATAGTAGGTAATTAATGTAAGGTTATTAATTAAGGCATACTAAAGAAAATACGTTCTTTGATCCTAGTATCGTTCATTTATTGTTTAATTGGCACAAATATCACAATTAGCTCTCTTATAATAATAGAACTTATAACATGTAAGTTACAAAATTTTCAAACAAAATCAAATTACAAATGATGTTACTTATTTTAAAATTATTTATATCAAAGGCGCAATTCAACTTAAATCTCAATCAGGTAGATCGCGTTTGTTGTAAAATTGAACGAAGAAAACACAATGCGTCCAAAGTTGCGTCGTTCAACGATGATCTTATTTTGTTACAAATGTAACTTGCAGATGAAAACGCCCTTTCTGATTCAACGCTGGTGGGAGGAATGCTTAATAGGTACTTGTAAGCTGCATCCAAAAATCTGCCTCTAGTACCTCCATTTTAAAAAGCTGGTGGAGTTAGAGTAGTAAACAAACGGCAACGTGCTCTCGCTTCAATAATATCAGCAGAACTGACTGAGGAAGCCGCGAGCCGGCGGCGGGCGGAGGGAGGGGAAGGAAGTGGCGTGCTCGGAGTGCGCGTCACATGATTAGTGATGGGACTGGATACTCGAATCGTTTTGAATCTACCGATTATTTGAATCGATAGTTGAACCCTGGGGATGGACATAACATAGGCGAAGGCGTCCTTATATATACAACTGCTGGTGTGGGTTCCATAACGTGTACAACTGTGCTGTGAAATATAAAAAACCGGCGAGTGGAACTCGCGCACGAAGGGTGCCGTTGGAGAATAATATTCTTTATTTATTATTGATTTAAGAACCAATTCGGTATGATAAATTAATAAAAATATTTTGCTAGCTTTGATAACAGCTGAGATATTCCAATTTTTGACACTTTGTTGTATCAGCGCCACTTAGAGGATAAAACTTGTAACAGGTTTTAGTATTTGTTTTTGTAACGGCAACAGTTGTACACATTCTGTGAAAATTTCAGATTCCTAGCTTCAGCGGTTTCGGAGATAGAGCCCGCTGACAGGCGGAGACAGCGTAGTCTACTCAGTCATACTCAGTCCTTTGATCTTTTGGTACCCTAAAAATATGTGTGAAAACGTATCTATGACTTTTAACAGCTGATATTGCAAAAATATAAAGCTTTTTTTAAATACCGTAATACCGGTATTTTATCCTCAAATACCGGTATCAAAATACCGAAAAAATTGTCCGGTATACCGGTATTTCGGTATACCGGTATACCGGTATCCATGTCCTAGTTGAGGGAGATAAACAGCACTATTTAAATATCATTTTTTTTTATTTTGACCGAAACCCACAAATCCTCGCAATTACTTTCCCATTGCCTCCATACAGACTGAGGAAATGTGTCAGGTTACAGCAATTAAAATACCGCCACCATCCAGCTTTGTTGATTTCGAACAAATTCGATCCCTACGATATTTCGTCGTGCACCTAATTTATTAAAGATTTATTATTTATATAAAAATCGAGAGTTGAAAATGAAACACGTAATAATTTTGGTAACATATTATAGTATTGACTCAGTGAATAAATCGATGTGTCATCTACTTAGATGCCGCGGCTACGTTAGGTTGTACTACCTTATTTCCTGAAAATGAAATTATTGATATTACTTTTTCAATCTAATTAAATAGTGACAAACGACTTTAGCCTTAACATTTTTCTTAAATAATACTTGAACAAAAATCTATCTTATGTACTTTTATAATAAAAAATTATAATATTATGGCTATATCATATAAAAACGTAATTATTTTAATTCTTTGATTATATACTTGTGGTAATTCATCATTGAAATGAAACATCCTTTATCTCATTTTTCATATTAATAGGCCGCTAGGGTTTCACATCTTAAAAGGAACCATTTTAAGATTACTTGGTTTTTTTTTCTTTTCCGGCCTAGCCCTACTCTGCCCCCCACTTAATAGTAGGCCTTTATAAAGATTACTTGGTTGTCTGTCTTTCAGTTTGTTTCTCGCACTGAATTACTGATTTTGATTAATTACTGATTGAGTTCAAATTTTGTACAATTTGGGTACTCCCCTATATATAATGTATATATTATAATGTTAAAAACTTTATGATGTACATATCGCACGTCGAGAACGATAGTGACACAAATGCAAAAAATGCGATTTTGAGTAATGAGCGTTTAAGGTTCAAGAAATAGTAATCAGCCCCTCTAAACAACGTATCGTCACTACGCCACCTAGCAGTTTCTATGCAAGCTACGTTTACAGGGATCTTTGCATTTTAAAGTTTATACTTAACAAAGAAAAATATTATAATAATTCTAAAGTTATTTTAAAAAAAAGGCGAACAACCAACAATTCCCCCAACGTTGAAATAAAAACAAAAAGAAAAAGGCCTTTAGCGATTGATTAATAGAAAAACGTTTAAAAGACTAAAATTTTGCAAATTTATATGAGATTCTTTTGAATTCAATTCCACTTATTCTACTATTCTTTATTGTCAAAATCTTGCAGTAAAAAAATACAATATAATCTACAACATACCCGGTAATAAACCTTTTGTTTGTTCCAATTCTTTATCATTATAATCAGAGAATTTGTTGATAGTGTACTCTGCCGTCGGTTGAGAAACGTTCTGTTCGTTTAATTTCTTCAACGTAACCAAGAATGTAGCATATCTTTGCATTACCTCTTCGGTATCTTTATATCTTTTCTCGAAATCTCTTACAAATTTATGGAACAAATAAGGTGCGTCTTTTAAGTCATAATGAACATTACCAGCATTGACGAACGCCACAACAGCCACTAACAATATAGCGATAAATGTTACCGTTTTCATCTTGCTGAATTGTTTACAGGACCGGGTAGATACGATTGATCCCCACGATTGATCAGCCAGAAATATTTATAGTCAGCGTAATTGACCGTGAAAATATGAATTCGTGGTATAAACACTTTTTAATCAATTAGCAGTAACAAACAGCGTGAAATCAGATTGAGTGACTTTATTAATCAGACGTATTTTTGATAAGATTTCTTATTAATTTTTTAATGCACAAAAGTTTTGAATTGTAAACAAGGATATACACAATAAGCAGCAATCAGTAAATGATACTTATAAAATATTATTTTACTTAATAGATATTCCTAGTGTTATAGGTAATTAACACAAGACCTAACCACAATTAGGTCATTAAAATGTTAAGAAAATATTTTTCATTATAATTTGTGAGGTTACTTCGTAAAATAAGTTATTGTGCATCTGTAAATGAATTTTTTTTATATTTGAGATAAAATCCATCCAAACCTATAAATATATAAATCCATGTAACCTATGTTACTCGGGGTACAACAATATATTTCTCTCTTTTTATAAAAATATATTTTTCGAAAATTGGTTTGTTACAGTTCCTAACAAAATAATTTAAATTATTATTCGGTTATACCGTATAACCGATTTCCTTTTTAAAAGAATATAAACAAATTCATGGGAAATATCGATAAAGCGTAGGTTATAGCTAAGATTACGGCTACGTCCATGAGTTAGGCGGTCGCGCTCCTGACACTACTTCTGATGCACAGATATAAATTTAACAAAACGATAAGATCGATTCAAAATTTTCCAAATTGTCTTTCGAAGACAATTAAAATCGGCCCTCAGGTGTAATGTTAATTTGTACTAGTTATAAATATTTTATAATCTTACTTATTATTATATAAATATCTTATTTAATGTAATCGTCTTGAACTTTTCTTATTAACTATTCCAAAAAGGACAAGGATATCAATTCGATTGTTCTTTTTTGCGCAAAATCTTACATACTGGTGAACTTCTTTTTTTCTTAAAAACGAAACAGAATTAAATTTCTTTAAGCGTTCGTTAATTGCCTTATTATTAAATATTATATTTTTAAATAACTCTTAAATTATAACCACACCCTGTCTAGTTAGTATGTAATTACACGCTTATCGCTTATAATATGTAACCAATTATTTAAGATTGAAAACTCACGTGTCAATATAATAAATTCTCCATGATTTTATTATATTGACACGTGAGTTTCAATCCTTCGCAATTATGTAACTTTATTTTATCTAAACATCTTAAATCAAGACGTCTCTGGAGACGACACATTAGAAGAGATATGACCAAGTAAATGTGTTTATAGCCAAATAAAGAAGAAATTATAATAGAATATTTAGTGCATTAATTCTACATCTTAATAAATAGTAACATTCAGTACACATATTTATTCAACTGAATTTAAAAATCGATAGATAGTATAATAAAGTCAGGTGCTGGAGACGCAGGCATTGTTAGAGCAGGCACCTTTATTTTTACTTGATACTTAATGGGTTATGATAAGCTTTCAGTTTGCAGTTGATAATTGTATTAAAAGCTTTCTTTTTATGGTGTTATAAATTCGTGGAAGATTGAGACTCCTTCCCTGAAAGAGTCGAGTTTCGTTTCATGGGAGACGCTTCCGGAAGAAATAGCATGAAGAGAAATCTAGTTATAACAGTGAGAAAGGAAATAGAAGAATTGAAGAGTACTCGTAAGATAAAAAACTGAGGGCGAAGTATCGGGATCTGAAATTGTCTATTATTTTTGTATTTTTCTATGAGCAAATGTAATCAGTTAATAATATTTTTAATGCGCTTTACAACCCTATTTATCTCTTTTATGAATTTGGCATAACGTTTTTCAAAATCTTCTGGGTTTATAAATTGGCTAGGCAGGTTTATTAATTGTCTCAATAATTTTTCAGGTTCACGTAAATCTCGCGTTTTAGTAGATCCAGCATATGGAACTAAAAAACATCAACCATTTTATTTATTATTATTTAAAAATCTGAAACAACAGTGATTTCAGAGACAACTTATTTTCTTTTAAATATAATAGTCTATTTACTTATAATACATAACGATATAAAACTTACATCGACTTCTGTTAAATGTATTTTCTTGTCCTTTGCAAGCAAAATTTTTTTTGTAAACAAATATTATATTCGTAAACCTTTTTCTATTCAAGCGGTTCTCAATTTCTATAGCGTTCTTTAAGTTTTCTTTCAATATATTACTAAATAAATTACCATGATATTTTTCTGATGTACTTTTTAATATATCAGAAATAAAAATGAATAATACAGATACTCGAAATAAATATTTCATGGTCAACTTTTTGTACAATAAAAACTGATAGCTTTTCTCTGCTTTCTCTACTATTTTTTTCGTGAACCTACAGTTGCTAAGTCAATCACTGTTAAACAGTTGTGTATCGAATTACTTAATTTAGCAGGTGTGAACAAGAATAATTTAGCAGGTGTGAAAATTTATTATTAAAATTCAATACTCACGTTATTTATTGTAAGTTGTCGGCAAGATCTCGTGAAAGTACACAACTAAAAAAAGCTAGTAAAAGCTACACTATCACATCAATACGTAAAATTCGAATCCACGGCGACAAACCTTTAACGAATCTAGTAACAAGACCAACACGCGGAGCGAAACCTCTGTGGGCTCATCTAAGTGCTCAATAAAACAATGACCAACTAATGAAACTGAGCCTGAACTGAACCGACCCGCAACCCCAACGCGGACCAGAGAAACTGACCCATTGCGTTTATCTATTGTCACCGGGCCTTACCATTTAAAATTGATTTATAATAGAATATTAGTGAAACTTTATAGACTCTATTCTGCTTTACGATATTATAAAAGGCGTAAGTTAGAGCAAGATGGACATTTAATAGGCCATGATATAAGTATATAATGGTATTACTCCATTTTAAACAGCACTCGCGTATATAGGGTGGACAGTAGACTGAATGACGCCATGCGGTTTATATCTGAAACAATCAAGTCTACACCTCGATACTCTACACACACGTCTACGCCCGTTTTAGCACACATAGCCCCTCCACACCTTTGCAGGCAGAAAGCACTAAAAAGAGAGGCAGAAAAAATAGCTGCTCCACCATCACTCCCTGCCCATGCTAAATTTCGCATCCATCGACGGTCAGGCTCAGATCCCGTCACCTCCCCTACATCTCAGCCCAGAGTCTCTCCCACTTTGACATTGACACCTGATGGAAGTGTGAGTGGAGCACGGAAGCGGATGGAATTTTTGCCCAAATCGTAGGCCAACGGTCAAACCTAAGGGCTTAAATCTACCTTTTAAGGTTGTCAGTGCCAATTGAACAGGCTTAGATTGGGACATAGTCAATATAACTCCTTTCGGCATAGGTAAGGATGGCGAGATTCTGATTTGTGTGATTGGGGCTTAAACCATGTATCATATCAAACAGTGATGCCCACTCCATCCATACCCAGGACCTATAGAAGATATCTACCAACCTTACTTAAGACGCAACTAATCGGTACCTCGATTTATACATAGCGGTAATACACTGGACCGCAAAGAAAACGGGTCGGTTAGAAAATCGTCAATATCTTGAAAACTACTTAACTTATTTTTATGAAATAAAAACTAAATTAAAGATTATTTAATTGTAATTTATTGAATATAAAAAAAATACAAATTAAAAGTTGTCTATTTTCAATAAATGTCAAACGAATGAAAAAGGTAGTTTTTCTGACATTTTCGTAAATATGAATTGTATAAAGATGTGACGTTTTTACGCATGTTAGTATTTCGTGTTGCCTCCACGAGCTTGCAAAACTGCGGCTATGCGATTCGGCATACCTTCCACAAGGTTTTTAAGGCGATGCTGCGGAATGTTCTGCCATTCCTCGATCAAAGCTCCTTTCAATTCACGCAGCGTGATTGGCGGCGGATTCCGTTGACGTACACGTCGTCCCAGTTCGTCCCATGCATGTTCGATGGGGTTTAAGTCGGGGCTTCGTGCTGGCCACTCCATGCATGTGATACCTACTTCGTGAAAATAGTCGAACACTATCTGAGCTGTATGCGGGCGGGCGTTGTCTTGCATAAAAACAGCATTTTCGCCCATATCTACTAAAAATGGACCAACATAGTCATTAAGAATTTCATTCACATATCGTTCTGCTGTTAAACTGCCATTTTCTATCACTACTAGCTCAGTACTAGCTTTCGGAAGAAATCCCAGCCCACACGTGTATAGAGCCACCGCCATATGGTACTTTTTCTTCTATACAAGCTTGGTTATAGCGCTCTCCCGGTCTTCGGTACACTCTTTTCCTCCCATCGTGCTTGTATAAACAGAATTTAGACTCGTCTGAAAACATAACTCTTGACCAGTCATCCAGAGTCCAAGTTTCGTGTTCTCTGCTATAACTCAACCTTGAGTTTAAGTGGTGTCTTTCTAATTTTGGGCCATTTGCAGGCCTTAATGGTCTCAAATTTGCTTCAGCCAGACGTCGCCTTACTGTATCTGTACTCAGATAGTTTCCTCCAGCTCGTAAATGGTGATTTTTTACCTCAACGGCCGTAAGAAATCGATTTCTCAAAATTGTTGACACCATATAGCGATCCTCCCGCGCAGTCGTGCACCTCGTTCGGCCTGTTCCTGGTCTTCTTAGGTTGGATCCAGTTTCATGGAAACGCTGGAGTACTCGCTGTATTGCGCTGACTGCGCCCATCTTCAAGCATTGTCAGGATCCTGGTGCATTCTTCAGGGGTTAACGACATGATGACTTCAGAATACAATTTTTGTATGACAAACACACGATATTTATTGTAGTTTTTATGTCAAAACTAAAACAAATGCGAAACAAATGCTTTGATTTTTTTAGAACTAAATTGAAAAACAACCATTATCTTCATTGCCAGTTTTCTTACACAATTATCTAAAGTAAATAAAAAGGTTTTATATACTATGTTAAATATCATTAAAT